ACAAGTTTAGCGCTTTCGGCATGTATGGTGTTCCCTCTATTCGAATGAAAACTATGAACAAAAGACTGGAAAGAGCAAAATCTTAATTCTTGTATTAAGCAATATTTGAATATAAAATAGTCGTTTTTATTATGAAAATATTAATGCCTGGTTATCGATAATATCTCTGTGTTGTGATAAGTGATTTCTAATATGATGAGCTAAAATTCATGTCGATTGTCTTATAATTGATAAAACGATCAACACTGAATATAAAAGCTGTAAGTACAATCTGTGCAAGATTAAAATGTACAACATGATGTAGCTACTGCTTCTGTTCATAGGAAGATGGTTTTTATCCTTGATATCTTGGCACAAATTTCTTCACCCTTCTTATATTAAATCTTTCAGAAATGCGATCAGAAAGTCATTAATATATTCTAATGAGCTGCTACTGACATACGGTCTGCGATCGTATATCAATAGCGTCTATCATGGCTTGTGGTGAGAGAAACAGGAAGCAGTAGGCAGCCAGATGATAAAATCGGCTTCCGATATTCAAATCCAGATGGTAGCCAGCATTTAAGCTACTATGTTTTTGTGTTACCTCTAGCCTGGATTCTGATTGAAAGTGAGTATATGTCACGATGAGTGTGTGAGTGTGACTGTAAGTGTGGGTGTGGATGTGTGAGCGTGGGTAGTAATGTCGTCTTGGCTCATGGTCACACCCAAACTCGAACCCATACACACTCTCCTCTCCCACACCACAATATAGAGAATCCTTTAGCTAGAAAATGACAAGGTTTTGTCCCGAAATTCTATTAAAACGTTGAAATACAGAACTGCACTAACTTATATCCACTAATGTGTAGCTATCGATAGTTTCTCTCATATTCGAGGTGTTTGGGTTTGTTCTTTTTTGAAATTCGTCCCTTTTTATCAGAGAATGGTTGGTATTTCTAGATTGTCCAACTGCAGCTCTAACTCGACTATGCCATAAAGGCTTTCACTATGTCCAATTGCACACAGAGTCAGTGCTGTGTTGAAGCCTCTCTCGTCGACTACACTTGATTGGGCATTTTCGAAAATCAGTCTACACTTCTTTAACGCTTCGCTCAAGAAAACTCCCATCAACCTCAAAGACCCACGGCAAGTCTCTCGTCGGTGTTTTCCTGAGGCGCCATTCGCGGCTCGCTAGCCCTCAGATTTTCTCTACTTTTCAATAGCCGACTGAGTTTCAATAATTTTTTACGAGTTTTGATTTCCAAAAGCAATCTTGTCATTCTCTTACTCCAAATATAAAGTTTGTCTGTGATTTCCTCATTACAGATTGCATTTCTTTTATTTTCATGAGGAACCAGTACAGAGTTGAAATTAGTCGGCTTGACTACTATTGGAGTCGCTCTCCTGAGAAACACTCTACGTTGGGTTCGAAGCCCCACACAAGGAAGGCTCATGTCAATTTTGGAAACCAATAGCGAGTCGCACGTCGATGCCCCTTTGAGGCAACACTCACGACTAGTCGATTTCTAGAGTCTATTTGATTTCGAAGCCGACGATCAATTTGTGCTGCGCCATAACTGACCTATTCTGGGCACATCCGCCGAGTTTTACGATCTTCAACGCTAATTACATAACTCTTATACGAAAGTATTAGCAATAAAGCTGACCTGCGACAGCCTCTTCCTAGAATACATTTCTTTGCCTTTTATAGCAAACAGGCTTTTTGTTGAAATGAGTTCCATCAATTACATCTGATAGATCTCTTTGGAAAATTGTCTAGAATTCTTTCAAGGCTTGGCTCAAGAAAATTCATGACAATTTCAGAAATGAACGAAAAGTAGCCCATTGGTATCCTTTCGAAGTACTACTCGCGACTTGTCGACATCCACATGCTATCTTCGTTCCCAGCTAATCGTTGAATTTTGTTACGATTCAATCAAATCGGTTCCCGTTCTGTAAAAATTAGTCGATTCTTAATAGGACGACTCTCGATTAAAATATCTACAACTGCAAATAAAAAAAGAAACAAAAAGAAAAAGCAAACAAGGCAGATGGACAAACACACTTTGTGGAAGGAAATGCCGGTAACAAGAACGAAAATTCCTTTGTATTTCATCTACAAAATCTTTAAAAGTTGTTTCGTTGTCTCCGGGCGAGGTAACTACTCAAGTTGTATATTTCGCGCAAAACCTTTTCAAGTTTTACAAAATATCATTTTGTGTTGTGAGAGAGAACCTCTCAAATGAGCATCTAGACGTTTGTCAGAGCGTCTTCGGACGCCAATTGTGGTTAGCCACTACCACATTAATGTCTACTTCCCCAATTAGCAGTCCAATTCTGTTCACAATCAAACTAAATCATGTCTGACTTCTTACGAAATTTGATGAGATTAGAATAAAAGACTTCTCCATGAAGAAAACGAAAACAAAGGCTATGATGAGAATGTCTGAGAGGTGATACATTAATGTCGAAGTTAATGGTATGTCATCATAGGATTTAAATAGTACCTTTTTCACGAAGACTCTTTAGTGAATTGAATGAAACTATTTTACTCATTCGTTTCTTTATTTTGAATGCATGTGTCCAAGGTTTTGGGAAATTTACGTTGAACTTGTATCCTTGACTATTAATCATGCATGCAAATTTAATTGGAAAACATGAAAAGTCTCTAAACTTATCTACATCACAATAGTATTCCGAATATATCTCGTTAGAGATAGTTCATTTACTTTTATACATTAGCTTTCTGCTCGTCGATTGGCTTGAATACGTCAGAACAGCAAGTGGTTTACTTGTGAATACGAGACGCTTCATGAGTTGTGAAGCGACTTCTAGAAAGATAATGAAGTTGAACTTGGATTTGTACTCAAAACCAATCCCGGACTGAGTTTTTCGACAACCATTAGCCAGTTCACCCTTCTATGATAGACCATGATCATTTTAGTTGCAAATTCTAATTCTCCACTCTACATAACCTCTAGCTGAGTTTTCAATGACTACGTGTAGAGTTTTACAAGCGCAAGGAAGCAAACAAACTCATTTAATTGCATAAAAGCCTTCTTTCAACCGAAAGCATCTTTTTCATAATTTATAACAAAAATACGAAAATTATTATATATCGAACCTTAAGTTCCGATTCTTGCCCTTGATCACCATCTGATTAACCTTTATAAAAAAAAATATTAAAGCCAATCATATGTGTGCAGGTGACGCGACATGTGCATGCAAACAAACACCGACACAAACTCATATTATTTCATATGATCTTCCCTTCCATCGATGAAATGCTGCTCGCAAGCTATGACGGCATCTCCGCCTTTACTGATGGTACACTTTATTCTACTTTTCCAGCGCCTCTTTCCTCTGTTAAGATAATGAGAACGGTCGGTCGAAGTCCTATCTTAATGTCAAACGATAAATACCATTTTCATTTTTCCTTAAAAAGCTTGAAAGCAAAGATAAAAGGTCAAAACTGATTTTTCAATAAAGACATCGTCCTAAACAAAAATTTATTCACAAATCTAGAACATACATCAACTGCATGATATGCTATAATTACGCTATATTTGCTCACACAACCACTACCCAAGCAGACAAACATTTTCACAAACACGTTTAACCCTTTGAGGACGGGATTACTTTTCAAAAAGATCACGTCCTCGAAACTTCGAAATAATATCTCTGCAAGAAAGAAGGTGTATCAGGATACAATACATATGGTGGTGTAGCATCACATCGGTGGAGAAGAGTCCATAGTCTGCACTAAATGTAGATCACCGCTATATAATGAGAGACATATTCAAGTGCGTTACAAGTCGATAGAGAGCCGTTGCCTATATATAGGCTTCCCGTCCTCAAAGTGTTAAACGCACAGAAAAGGGCTTAAAATCCACAAAAAGTGGACGTGTTCGGCTCACAATCGTGGTTCCCGACTGCCATCGAAAAACAACCACTTTTTGCCGTTTTTGTGCGTTTAAACGCGTTTTCAGCAAAAAAACGCTTGTAAACGCATATAAACGCATAAAACGATCATAAAAAGTTGTCATCTTTTTCATACTCGTAAATCCAAATCATAATTACAATCACAGTTCACGAAAATGAAAAAGACCACTACCTTTTATGTTCTTTTTATGCGTTTACAAGTGTTTTTTTGCTGAAAACGCGTGTAAACTCACAAAAAGGGCAAAAAGTGGTTGTTTTTCGCTGACAATCGGGAACCACGATTGTGAGCCGAACACGTCCACTTTTTGTGGATTTTAAGCCCTTTTTTGTACGTTTAAACGCGTTTGTGAAAATGTTTGTCTGCTTGGGTGGAGCATAATCATAAAAAGATATTGTTACTGATTTCGACTTTGATCATTTTAGGACTTTTAACCATAAGAACAGGAAGAAATTATCCAACTGCTTACTGTAAACAGGAAAACAACATCTTCCAACATCGAAAAAAAGCTATGTTTCTGCGCGTTCCTCTGTCAAAAACATATGACTAATTCATACTACATTAATGAATCCAAATTTACAAAATCATCTGATTCCAGCAAAAACCTTGCCGAAATGTGTTGAAACGAATGAGACCAACAAAACAAGCATCTTACATAACACTAATGTAAAGCTTTAATCACTGACACAGACTTCTACTGTCTGTGTCGAATGCGACTGCTCTTGTTTTTCTCTGTTTCCGACAACACAGAAACAAACACCCTTTACCGTGCAATGACCAATATTCTATTCACATCTTCACTTTCGGTTGCTCGAACTCGTAAACGAACTGAACCATTCAACGTGAAAAGATAGAATCGATCTTCAGATAAAAATTTTCAAATCCACACAAATGTCCTTGAATACACAATGTGAGAATCAAAAGCCGCTTTTATATCTTCTTTTCACGGTCATTCCTTTCAAAATCGTGAAACAAGTAATATTCAGAATTAATAAAAGCGTATATACTTTTTGTAAAGTCAATATCAGACAAAAAACATTTATTCGTTTAATACTACTTAAACCAGTGAGTTATTTTGTCAGACATCAACAGATAATAAAAAATAGATGGATAAAAGAACAGAAAAAATGAGAGCAGTGTTATTTTTTGTATTAGCCACTCCATTTGGTTGTGGAGTAGGCTCTGGTTGAATGATGCGCCCATTGATATTAACTGAAAAATCTTGTATGATTGATCCATAGTCATCGGACCAGGTTGAAGATCCATTAGTAAGAATAAGTCGAGCAAGGATCTCAGCAAATGCAGGTATATACTGGATACTTGACCAACTATCGGTTCCTAGCACGAGCTTTTGTTCGAAGCCAGGAACGTAGTCGAGAATAAATCCTCTATCAGATAACATCGAATCGAGTGTAGTATCAGTTGGCATTATAGGATTGGTCAAATCAATAGTTTGAGATAAATGCTGACCTACCCAAGTAAGCATTCTGTCGATGATCTGCTGATCTGGCTTGTTTGTTCGATTAAGAGGAGAGTTGATTGTCAACATGGTTGTTGGATTTATTCGAGGTTCAACACGTAGATAATTCGACTGATCCTGCGGAAAACCAGCATAATAATCACCATTAGCGGATACAAAACTCCAAGTCGATACTGTTAAATTCGAAGATGATTGTAATCGACGAAAATGAACAGCTGATGGTAGTTCATATAAATTAATACTGAGATTAAGTCCCAGTGTATTCATCATAGTCTTGGTGAAAGCACCGGGAAGAAAGATGATTTTGTCAGCAGTAAGTGAACCGCGATCTGTTGTTATATGCATACGTGATTGATCAGATATTTGTTGTACACTGAGAAATGTTTCTTTATCACGAATTAGAATATTGGGTGTTTTTGTTACCAATATTCTCAAAACAGTGTTTAATAAAGTTACATTGATAAAACCAGATTGGCTGAGATGTAGACCAGGCTGATTAACAGTGATGAAAGACTGTCCACTTGACATTTGTGTAGATGACCATTGAGTGCAGTTAGCAACAGATAAATTACGACAGAATTCAATCATATCAGAGACTGATTGACCAATGTAGAGGAAGCCATTTAGAGTGTTTAACAAGGAGTTAGGTGACATATTTGCTTCTTTCTCTAACTCTCGCCACATCGGTAGAACAAGTTGACCTAATTTGCTCAAGTAATACCTCTCGTTCACTAAATGAAACGGTGCCAATTCTAATGGTTTAACATCATCTTCCCTTTGAAGAATAACAATACGTTTGTCCTTCGCTTTCTTCGCCAGATTTAATGCCGTAGCCAGACCGAGTGCTCCACCATCAATAATGGCAACATCGAAATCTTCTTCCTATAATAACAAATGACGGGTTTCATTGGAATAACTTTTGAGATCAACAGACCAATAAATCCGATTTTATCAGGCATTCACTCAAATCTAATCAATATCCTACATACTTCAATGCTTTATTCGTTTTGTTTTTTAGAAACAGGCTAAAGACTCATCTCATTTTAATTTGTTCTTAGAGTCCGAAAAACAAATATCTATTATTAGAGAAAAAAAAGACAGCTAAATTATTTAAGAGTATCTAGGAGTTCTTAGCAATTAACCAAATTGAAATGATCATCGTCGTTTAATTCAGTATTTTACACAGCCGAAATCTTATGAGACTAGGAAAAGTACGAAAAGATACGCTGTTCTTCAAATTTCTTGTTGATTTTAGACAGTTCTAGTGAAATTGATGATTATAGACATGTATGTACTGAAAAATCGACATACAGATTTTATTGTTATCAGAAAATTCTCAGCAGAGATGCATCCACAAGTGAGACTTGATTAATTGTGATCATACTATCCGATATTAACGTTACCTCTGACGAAATAGGATTATAAAGTGTCGAATTTGGTCAAAGTACGCTAAAAATACTAAATTTTCAGCCAATTCCTGACATATTTCAGTCGTATTTCGTTAAGAGCGACAATAGCATCAGATAGAACAATCGAAATTGATCAAGTTTCAGTCGAAGATTTGATCGAAATCGAAGCATCTGGGCATCCTAAATACGCTTTTCCTGAAAGGAAAAATCAGAAAAAGATACATACATAATAGGGGAAAATCTCATTCAAAACGTGAACAACTCTAGATAGAACTTTTCAGACATTGTATTTTGTCTAAGCCTTTCCTACTTGTACTGATTCTCCGTTATTGATAAATATTAGCTTCATCGAGAGAGGTGAATTTGGAAGGTTTCCTTCTCAACTACTTAGTTGACGCAGTCGATACGTGAGATGATAGCATCAAGCAAAATCGAACAGTGCTTATCGAAAGATTTTGTTAGAAGATATTTTTGAATGGCACTTACTTGATAAAACATGAGAACGCGCATCGATGACTGTATAGCTCCTTCAATCCATCGGTGAACATAACTGATATGTTCTCCAGTGAAATGTACAATATTCTTAATCGATGTGCCCAGTTCATCATGCAGATTTGTTTCTTGATTTGGAGTGAAGAGAGCATAAGCACCATGAGCATATTGATCTGTACACCAATTTTTGACTTCACAACTAACAACCAATGATCGTATGTCAGAACGATTATGAAGTTGTATGAGATCTTGAAGAGATTTCTCACAGGTTTGGTCTTTGCTTAATGCAGACCACAACAGAGCATCTGTTGCCCAGACATATGATGTCAAAATAAAGGCTCCATCATTTACCGAATTGGCAGTAGTATTAAAATTGTTGTAGAAAACAAATCGTATAGACAAGTCAGTAATCGAGTAGCCACCTTGAATGTTTTCAGCGCGCCAAAATGGACGACTGAAGGAGTGAGCTATTTTTGTTGCACAATCATAATGCAATTGACGCAATGCACGATATTTATCAATAAAAAGGCTTCTTGGTTCAAATTCAATCAAACTAGCTGCTCTTGCTGT